AAAAAAAAAAAAAAAAAAAAAAGATGTGCACTCCAAGGCTGTGACTCACCAAATTAATGCTTTTTACTCCTTCATCAAGAGCATTTCTAAGCCAGGTGTGGTGGTACACGCCCATAATCCCGCCAATCAGGAGGCTGAGGCAGGAGGGTTGCTGTGGATTTGAGGCTAGCCTGAGCTATATAGTGAGTTTAAGGTCAGTCTGAACTACATAATAAGACCCCGTCTCAGAAAAACAAAAAACTGGGGTCAGGAATGTAGCTCAGAGACACAGCGCCTGCCTGGTAAGCACAAGGTCCTAAGTTTGAGTCCCAGTACCAAAAAGAAAAAAAAAAAAAAAAAAAAAGAATTCACAAAAAAAAAAAAAAAAAAAAAAAAATCAGAACAAAAGAACATTTCTGTTTCGTTTCCTGTGGTTGGTGTATTTCTCCCTCCTGCCCCACCCCACAGAGCCTGCCCGGCAGCAGCGGGGCCTGCAGTGGCTGCGGGTGCTGTTCGTTGCCTGGCTTGTGTTCTGCTAGGCTCCTGCAGGCTTACCCAGCAGTGCTTGTGCACCACCAGTGTGGCTGTCCCACAGCGAAAGAGGCACCTGATGTCTTGGTATTAAGAAAATTGTTTTGATCTCATGGACTCCCTGAGAGGTCCCCCGATGGCTTACAGACAGCACTTGGAGAGCCGCAGGTCCAAGATACTCCCCCATGCTTGAGGGCTTAGGTTCTTTGAGCTCATGCCTCTGAACATACTCTTGTCACCTGTCCCTGGAGGGGGTCTTGGTGATCATCAGAAAGGGTAAGGCGGCTGGGCATTTAGACCGATGCCCTGGGCTGGCCGTGCGGGTCCTGCGGCTGCCCCTCCCCTCCTCTCCCATAGAGCAGCGAGTCCGTCACCCTTGACCTGCTGACCTACACGGACCTGGAGTCCCTGCGGAACCGCAAGCTGGGCAGCCGCCCGGGCACCTTGGCCCCTAGATCAGCCCAGCTCAACTCCAAGCGCTACCTGATCCTCATCTATTCTGTGGAGTTTGACAGGTGGGTGCAGGGAGGGGCCTGTGGGCCGAAGCCCGGGTAGCGGGCAGTGTGGGAGTACCTTTTAGGCACCCTTTCGTAACCTAGGTGGAGGCTTATATCACTGTTGTGTCTTGCTACCACTAGCAGAGTAACCGTTACTAGTGCTTTAAACAGATAATACTTCATAAGTTCACGAGGTGTCTTAAGTACATAGCTGCCATTTAGCAGTTTCCTTGCCTTTTTTGACTTCATGAGAACAGTTGCTGGAGTTGTAGGCATTGCATCTGTATCAAAGCAGGAAAAAAGGGGACGGGGCTGGTTTTCATCAGGGAAAAAAAAAAGCATTCCCAGAAAACTGATGATTTTCCATAATATTTGACCAGAGGTGGTCACGTACCAAGGATGCTGGGAAATGAGCATCTGGCTTTGCTACCCTTTCTAGTGGGACCCAGCAAGGGAGAAAGAGGGCCCCTGGGGATAGCTCTGGAGGAGCTGCGGACAGTGTCTGCCTTGTTTGGTAGTGGCTCCTGGAGTTTCTAATGGGAAGTGGCCCAGCCTCTCTGGTACTGGGGATCCAACTCAGGACCTTGTGCTTTGCTAGGCGGGTGCTTATGCTGTAGAGCTATTTCCCTGGCCAGCCTCTCTGAATAATATCTGGGAGAGCAGCTGACGGAGGTGCCCTGCCTTTCCCCAGCCTGTGGCTGACCTAAGCCAGGCCAACCGATCCTCCCCGTGTAGAGTGGATCCGTGTTGTGCTCGGCTGCAGGTCACAGGAGACCAGTGATGTATGACAAGGAGGTTGCTTGAAACAGTGCCAGAGCCATCTGTCCCTGTGTCCTTAGAACTGTTGTGTAAGAAGCTCCCAGAGCCGAAGGACTGGTGTGGGGAGGGCGTGGGGCAGTAAGGACAGTGACTGAAATGGGAGTCAGACCACGAGCGTTTTGGGATTTTGTATTTTGTGTCCCCCGACTCTCAGAACCTGATTGTTGCCCTTGAGTTTCTTGCCCTTTGAGATGCCTCAGTTCTAATCCCTCTTCTCAGGATTCACTACCCGCTGCCCCTCCCGTACCAGGGCAAGCCTGACCCTGTGGTCCTGCAGGGCATCATCCGGTCGCTGAAGGAGGAGCTTGGTCGCCTTCGAGGACTGGATACCTGCGATACACGGGACACGAGGGATACTGAGCTTTGGCACCTGCGGGAGCAGTGAGTCTGGCTGTCGGGGGGTGGGGGCAGCCCGTCATGTCTTTGGGCCCCCATGTTTTGGCCCATGGAAGGACTGCCATCCTGCATCCACCCTAATCATTCTGAGCCGCCTTTTATTGGGCAGGGCTGGTGACACAGTGGTGCCCGAGCCGTCCTGGACTCCTGGATGGAGACAGCTGCGGGCTGGGATGCTGGGCCTCCTGACCCTATCCGTAAGGAGGGGTGCCACAGGCAAAGGGGACTGCACACGGGCAGTCAGGCAGGACAGTCAGGCTGCATTAGGTTTTAGTCCACCTGCATCAGGCACCTTTTGACACCGGCCCCTTTTCCTTGTGCAGTGCCCAGCCAGGCTGGCTGGACATTTGTCACTTAGCCACCTGAACGTGCCACTGGGAACAGGTGGAGTGGGGCAGGAAAGGGCTCTCTGGCGGCAAGGCCATGAGGGGGCTAGTTAAGCTCAGAGGTTGGGGAGAGAGTTCTAGCAGGGCTTATTATGTGCCAAGCCTGAAGTAAGCAGGAACACGGTGAGGACGGGAGGGAGCAGTGAAGGTGAGGGCTTTTGGGGTACATGCTGGTGCCTGTTATACACTCCCATCTGGGGGTGAGCTGAGTTGGGGTGATAGCTTTAGTAGTAATGGCAACACCAGCAGCTGAGGTTTACTGAGTGTTTAGTTGTGTGTCAGGGATCCTACTCCATGCATTAGGGTTGAGTTCATTTTATCCTTACCGATGCTTTACAAGGCAGGCACTGCTGTCGCCCCCTGCTACAGAGGCCCAGAGCAGTTAGAGCACCTTCCCTGGTCACAGTGAATATCATGGCCAGGTTGGACCTGACATTCAGCAGCCTGTGCCAAACTCCCTTTGTGGCCCCAGCGGTCCAGTACTGACGGTGGCTGCTAGCCCAGGGCTGCGTGCCAAGTGCTGGCCTTTTCTCACAGGGCCTGGGGACCCTTGCTGTGTGCTGCTAGGGGAGGGGGAGGAAAGTGGGAGACCAAGGTAGGAAGCAGGAGAAACTGTTCCCTGGGTCAGCTTTTAGGGCGTGCGGATAGGGGCTTGCACCTGTGCATCCCCAAATGGCCACGAGGTGGCGCCCTCTGCTCTGTGGACTCAACTGCAGAATTAGGGTGACTTTGAGATGCCACAGTGGATAGAACTGGAGTTAGGGCGTTCGGGAAGCCTCCAAGACTCACTCAGTCACACCTTAATTCATTTGCTCGTTGTTTCATATGACATTTAGCAAGTTCGTACATGGCCTGGCATAGTTGATGCTTGGGTTCAGCCCTTTTCTTAGATTCCGACTTACAGGAGGTCTCTCATCCTCGTCTCTCCTCATAGAGATGTGAGGAGCTCAGGGTCGCCCAGCTTGTAACGCATGGGGTAGATTGCACTGCGGAGCAGTCAGTGGAGACCCCAGGGGAGGGGACCCAGACAGCAGGCAGCTGTCTCAGGCTGGTGCTCGGAAGGCAAGATAGGGTGAGCTCAGCACAGCCCGCAGGCAGGCAGCCCTCCCGGAGTGAGCAGAGGCCGTCTGTCCAATGGCAGGATGAGGGATGGTGTTTTGGGAGGCGAAGGTGGGAGCCCTGTGTGAGGAGAGGCAGGGAGAAGTCACTGAGCAGGGTTCCCGTGGGGGAGCTGGGTGCGGAGCTGGGCAGCCACCGGATGTGAGGATGTCTTATTAGGAAAACTGCCAAGCACACACAGAAGCCGGCCACATATGACACAGTTGTGCTGTCCCGGCCCGTGGTCATCACATGTTGTCATCTTGTTGATTACCTCTTCCCTTCTCCCCCGGGACACCATATCTTCTTCATAAATGCTTCAGCCTGGACCCTCAATATATAATTCGGACACAGAAAGGACACAACCACCAGCCTCTAATTCCATCCCTCACCCAGCACCTGTGTTCACACTTTTCAGTCTCACAAACGTCTTTTTTGATTGGCTTGTTTGAATTGGCATGGGAATATGCCCTCACGATGCAACTTGTCACTGCGTTCCTTAGATCGTTCCCAATCTCCCTTGATGTGAGTTATCTGTGGAAAAGACCAGGTTCTCCTGGAGTCTCCCGTCTGGATTGCTGCCTTTCTCCCCGTGGGGGTGGTGACTGGCTTCCTCTGACCTTGTTACTTTGGGGGAAGTGACAGTTGACCTCCCAGGCTTTATGAGACCTGGAGCCAGGTTTGGGGGGCACCTTCCTGGCAGTGCCATGTACTTCCTGCTGTTGGAGGTATTGACACTGGCAAGGGGAGCTCTTGACAGTGTCCCCTGTCTTACAGAGTCCCCTCAGCCTGCCACCCTGCCGTGGGGCAGCGGCTCCCACTGGCTGCCTGTTCACATCACCCCGGGTGATGATCCTGGTGCCCCGCTGCTCCCTGCAGACCGTTTACATCAGAAGCTCTGCGGAGGGAGGTTCCATTTTCCACTACTTACTTTTCTTATTGTGAATGAAATATCACCCACATAAAGTATGAAATATAAATGTACATGGCCAGGGATGTAGCTCGGTGGCACGGTGCCTGCCTGGCAAGTGCAAGGTCCTGAGTTCAGTTTCTACTCTCAAAAACCCCATGAAATGTACAATTTAAGAAATTATCTGGGGCTGGTGAGATGGCTCAGTGGTCTAAAGCACCTACTTAGAACAAG